CGGTCTGCGAGTGTGTTCCAATAATTGAAAATCTATTGCGGCAGTTGTATCGCCAACATTTGCAGGAATAACTTTAGTGAAGAATCCTGCACTTACACCTGTCGGATATAATCCAACGCCCTTCGTCATAGAGTAGTTGTTTTCTGATAGGTGTCAATTCATTAACCTACTGTGTAGGGAATTGAGATTGGCCTAAACGAATTGTTCCTTTAGATTTATATGTTTAAAATGTTTTCCGTTACCAGCTATCGCACCCCTATAAACGATAACCCTCAGAAGTCGAAACTTGTGCGAGCTACGGACTAACGAGGTCTTACATTTTAACGTGTGATTCCTAACACGGGTTGGACGATAGCAAGTGAAAAACGAGCGTTCAGCCTGGGGCTTGAACCATCGACTCACATATCAGCCGATTGACCGAGTGAATAAAGCACCCACGTCGAACCGCCCGGTTACCGATTTGATTTATAGCCTGTCTTCAAGTATGCTCACTGACTATATGTGAAAAAAATTATGAAAAAATGTTTTTGTGGCTTAAAAAATAGATTTCGTTCCAAATTAGTATAAAGGAAAAGATATAATCGATACGCATCAGACTTCAGAATTGACGACTTCCATATCGAAATTTCTCGTTTTGATGCCGATTTTCCTCGAAAAGTTGAAACATTTTTATTGAGAAGAACTAAGCGTAGGAATCCTATAAACTCGCTCCTGAATTATGATTCGCGCCAACAAAATTAATAATATCTCAGATTCATGATAACGTCTAAAATATTCATTCCGCCTCAGACTTCAATTCGTTTTTTTGAAAGAGTGTCTTATTGGAACAGGAAATTACTTGCATCTCGCTGGAGAAATCAAATCAAATTAGAACAGACACGAGCAGATGTGTATGGTCGTTGAAGGCGTTTCAGCTCCTTCGGTTGAGCACATGTTCAAGAACACTTTTTTTGTCGTCAACTTTTTTTATATTCCAGGCGCATTCAGTACTTGCAATTCCACATAAATATAGAACACGCTGGTCTTTGCAACGATTCTACGTTACAAAGACTTGAATGTTAAGTCGAGGATAAGTCTCTAAGCCATAAAATATTAGCACCCAGATGCGTGTTTTACTTTTTTTGAGGTCAAATGCATGCTTTGATGGTTACTGGACTCAATCATTATTTAAGGACAAGCCTGAGCAAGAAAAGACGATGAAATTTCCTGACAGAAGACTTAATCCACAAATATCAAAAGAAAACGAAACTCCCACCAAGGTGATTCGCTGCAAAGCTTCGACTTCGACCACCGAACAAGATTTGTCTTCTGTCTTTCTCTACAACTCTCAGTGCAAGGCAACTAGTCGAAACCAGAAACTAAAAACTGAGCATTCGTGATTCAACATAGACAGCGAAGGGAGACAATAGTTTTTTTAGGCTTCCCCTTAAAGCAGAGGTGTCAAACTAAATTTTGCAGAGGGCCATATATTTAATTTAGAATATGTGGGCGGGCCAGACTAAAAAAAATGTACCTACTGAAGGTACATTTTTTATTCAATTATATAGTATATAATACACGGTTATAATACAATTATTTTGAGCTCGAGTATTCAGATACCTGACTTCTCTTGTTTTTGACAAGCTCATTGATGTCAGGTATCATATCTGTTGTAATAATTTAAAGAATTGATTGGAGATGTTCATTCGTACGTCTTGTGCAATGTTATTTCATGACGGAAAACATCTGCTCACATAAATAGGTACTACCAAACTTCGCATACAACTAGAATCCTTCTCCAACCGTATCACTTCGATTACTCGACTCAACAGACTCACGTCGCGCCGACGCCCTCCTTTTATATCGATGAGGAAGGTTTTAGTCTAGACTCAAAGCGTGGAAGATTATATTGTTCTCAACAAAAATAATAGGGCATTAACGCTTGTTGCTTGGAGATGACGTTACTGTCTATGATTGAGTTGTTTACTGGAACTAAATAGGTACCTAACACTATCTCGCTTTTCTAAGAACGCGCTGCCCTTGAAGTTAATTATAAATTTAGTGTGCGAATTTTAAAACTTCCCTAGAGGAATCGAGTGAAGTCTAAAAGCTCTAAATACAGGATTATTTTTCCTGTGACACATTGCGACCACGTATCTTTGACACGACTGCTTTAAAGCATGCATGCGGCGTTCAGCCTAGCACCACTGATTGCCTTTGGAAGCCACGTTTACCTCTGATATTCGTGAATTGAGTCTTATATCAATCCCCTAGATGGCGTCGTTGTGAGGAAATATCTCATCACCTTTTCTGTCTCGGTTATATGCATGGGGTTTAATTGACAATAATAAGAAGGTATTTGTGATACCTGATGAGTTTCAGTCGGAAAGTAAATATTTTCTTAACGAAATGATTATCTCATTTTGTCCGCCAAGTGTGGGTGTTCTGTCTATAACATCCAAATATTGGGACACATTATCTAGGATAATTACTCTGAAATGATTTTTCCCTAAACTATTTTGTGTAAATTTCTCTCACCATTTCTGGATTCATGTTATCGTAACAATCTGCAGATTTGGACTTACTTCAAAAAATTTGCTATGCACCTTTCTACTAAACCACTCATTATACCAACGTTTACTAAATACGTCATTTACCTTCGCTAGTGCTAATTTTTTTGAGGTTGCCATGCTATGTTGACTTTTTTTAACCTCTTTATTTTGTCATATGCTCGTAAAATGCCTTCATGTTATTCCCCTTTCCGGTTCTTGTATAAACTACCAACGTCTAATATTTCATTTCGTTTCACTTCCAAGAAAGCTGCTGTCCAAAGTAACGTGTAGTTTAAATTTTCTCAATGCGTATAGTGTGAAAGCGAATTTCGAATTTGGTTCTCGTGATAATGTTGATAAAGATATCAAAGACTACAATATTAATCAAAACGAAATCAACCGCTACTGACTTACTACTTTATGGAAAACGTATGATCCATTCTCTGGAAAAAAAGTTTCAGGTTGATTCTATATAACTGAGTAGAACTGGCCGATACTTGATGAAAATCCATATTAAAAAAGTTATTTTGTTCTATATTTCTCTAAGGCCTTGGAAGTTAGTTTTAACTAACTGATATCTAATCTCAAAGCCTCATAGAAGGAAATGTTTCACATTGAGTAGAAAGCTACTTTTACAGGAGTTCAGCATGTCAAATATGGCAACTCTGTATCATGACAGATTGAAGTATTATCGTTTCTTAAGGACTTTTCAAGGACCTCACAAGGGTACGCTGTTGCCTTAATTTATTTATCAATAGTATAGCTACTGTTTTTGTCTATAATTCGTTCCTCATGCTTGTAGATCATCTGAAGATATTGAATAGTTCAAAAAATGCCAGTTGCTGGTAACTGCAATGAGGTATCGCTATCCGGAAAGCTCCTGGCATGGACAAAATTCCAACCCGGACACTGAAAGTTCGACCTAGGAAGGAAAAAGCGGCAATGAGGATCAGCAACACTGCAACACTTTCCGTATTATTATTCGAGGAGGCCACGGTCATCTTATTCCCAAAACCTTAAAAAAGCATCACCATCCACCAATAAGCTTGAAACCATCGCGTCATCCCAAAATGAGTTAAGGACGATATCGAAGAATTGAACATCCTACCGGTTGCGCAATTTAGATTCAAGTTCTGATAGTGATCGACTATGCGATTGAAAGTTTCAACCTGGGCAAAGGACATCGGGGCGATATTCCTTGACGTCTCCAAAGCCTTTAGCAGAATCTGGCATGACGGACTCGGCCAAAATAGCAAATTTTGGGTACAGGAGAATAATGCTAAGATTAATCGACCCTTTTCTAGCTGACTGACGATTTTAATGCAAATTAGGACAATAACCCCAGGCGACTTCTAGAAGCAGGCAAAGTTATTTCTCCACACCTCTTTTCGGTGTTTACGGCAGACGCACCCCAGCCAGAGAACAATGTCAACAAGTTGACTCTGTACGTGAACCACGGACCCCACAACTCTTCATGCCACATCCACCAACCACGTGCTAGTCACAGGATACCTGCAACAAACTGCAGACTAGAGGAGTTGGTCAATGTCTGCGAGATTAGCATCAACCCCGATGAGAATCAGGCGATTCAGTTTAGGACGCAACCGGTAGGACACGTCGACTTCATCAGACAGGAGACTCCTTGGACTAACTAAACAAGATACCTGGAGCTCACCCTCGACAGGAAACTATCATTCAGGATCCATATCGTACAGAGTCTGGGTACTGAAGAAGGCTGACCGACACAACATCAATTCCATCATCGGCAGAAGAAACATGGATCTCCAAATTAAAAAGGGGGGTGAATAGAAACCTAAAAGCGCCTAAAATTACGTCATAGTCTGTCAAAATGTTTTTCTCCATGAATGATTTCTACTAGCTTAACGTTGAGCTAGGAGAACTCACAATATTTCCATTAATTGGAAAGAAAAGAAAAATATTTGGGAAGTAAGTACATAATTTCCATAAAATTTTGACCTGAAAATAAATGGAAAAAAGTACTTTTGCTAACTTAACAGAAGTTTCTCAACCTTTCCTTAATGATCGTTTTATCCGATCTGGCTAAAACGCATAGCGTCCAAAACGCATCAGTTTCTATCACATAGGTTAAACAGCATAGACCAGTCTTATGGTGTCGAAAATATTTGAACAGAAATTTGTAGAAATATCAATATCAATATCAACTGGGAGCGGATGGCGCCTCCACGTTGGTAATTTCTTTAAATAATACCAGAATCATTGTGATTTTATTTTCAAAATGCAACTAATGAATTATTTGTGTCGAATATTCTACCACTAATTTCAAACCGAACAGTCTGCATAGTGTGCCAATGCCAGTTTCAATTTCGAGAAAGGCAAATATTTTTTCTTATTTGATCTTCTCCATTAAATCCAAGAACTCAAAAATATTATCAAATATCATAATTAGATGGGGGATCTTTTACATCATCCACGACATTTTGCTTTTTTTTTCAAAGGTTTATTCATTCAAATTTATGTATGGTACTAGGTACTGAAAAGACATAACTTTTCTCTGCAATATCTCTCCTTGACAGCCGAAAGACTAATTTCGTTTATTTCAGAGTTCTGGTATACAGGATGGATATTTTCATAAAAAATAACTACAATGAAAACTCATTAGAGATCCTTCATAGATAGTTTTCATCTAGAAACCAGAAGAATGTACCCATCTGAAATGACAAAGAACTTCCTCAATTGATACTTAACTGCACAAAAATCGCTTTTTTTTCCTGAATTGAACTAGATTCCGGTTCACAGAAGAAAACATACTTAATTTTTAACTTCTCATCAGCAGTACTTAGGTATTTTGAATAAGTGAAACTCAAATACTTACTTGGATTCGAATACCTATTTGACACTATTGGATAGGTATTTCAAAAATAACTGGCATTTGCATGACAGAATGATTCAAACCACTTTAAAATTTATTATATTTTGATTCCAGCCAATTGGAGATTGGAAAGTTTTCTTGTGTTTCTTTTAGAGGATGTAGCTTTTTATGATGTTTCAATATTGAGTATTAATGTTTGGTTGATAAACAGAGAAAGAAGTGAATCCTGTGCGTTCAATATATCATATATCCACAGGAAAAATTGGATGTTCCCAAGGGACTGTTTCTTTTCCTAGCTATTTGAAAGAAGTATGTGTCCATGATCTATACATTTTCCTATACATTTTTTATGTTGTCTTGGATATTGTCTGTGTCACTGATTTTTTTCTCTGCAAGTTTTTCATTCTCACACATTTCTAAAAAGTAATTCTTTCATAAAAGAAGTATTTGGTGGATCACACAAAAAATATTTAACCAAATAACTATTGAAAATTACTAACTGAAGATATCAGAAAAGTTTTATCTTTATATTTTGATGTCAAGTTAACACAATATCCATCCCCAAAGAGAAAAAATACATAAGTGCACTTAGGTAGGTAATAACAGTAGTAACTTAGGAACTTTGAAAAACAAACCAGACTTTACAAAGAACAAGTAAACAGTATTCATTATTCAGAATTCATTCATTCCTTTCTTTTTACCTTCCATTAATACACCTTCCTTAGATAAAATACTTTTTTATATATAAAAACACTGCCAACAATGAAACTGATCGAAAATTGTAATTAATATCAGACAAATCACCCAGTCCTCAAAAAAATATAAATTTTAAGTCAGAATTACCTTGAAAATAGTTAATAATCCAAATGAACCAAAGAATTAAAACATACACCCACTCACTTACCGATCTCAAACGAAACTGAAGAAATTCTTGTAAATGTTTCAAGATGGCGCATGCCTCAAATTAGTTATGCAACTAACCATACGGTAATCTGTTTGGTGAGTAGGCAGGTGAATACATACACAGATAACACCGGCTGAGCAGGACCCACGGTATGCGACACATGTCAAATAAAATTCTTTTGCTATTTCCAGTTTTTACTCTAATATATTGTTTACAATCAATTGGAAACAGTAAACATCATTCTTCAGAAATATGAAGAATAATAGTCAATTCTAGTTGATGATACAAACATAATTGCTCTATTTTTCGGTATAGGTACACAGAATGTTAAGGAAAAAATGTTTCAAAGAAAATATGGTACCTCGAAAGAGAAGATTTGTTTGCAGATGAAAAACATACTTCTCAGTTTTGTGAAATAACTACCTCTTTAGAAAGAATATGTCATTAAACAACGATGACGGATTTCGACAAAAGAAGTCAATAGAAACAGTCTCATGTCAGTTGATTAAAATATATCTGTCTGTTCTATTTAAAATCTGTGTTTCCGTTAATCAGCTGTCGCCCCCATACAAACGACAACTCTCAGAAGTTGAGAAACTTGTGCGAGCTAAGGACTAACGAGGTCTTACCTTTTAACGTGTGAAATTGATCGTGGTCATTGTTTTTTGGTTTATCAAAGGCCAGTTTCGGTTGAGTTTATGACTGTCAAATCAAAAAAATATGGATCTAATAATTCAAAATAATAGGTGAAGTCTTTTATGGAAAATAGAATCATCTTGATATAATAATATATGGATCGGTACTTGTACTGTTGCTTTTTGTCATTTGTTAATGACTTGGCTAACCACTTCACTGATGGAAACATAATTATGTTAGCCTACGATACAGCAATGTCAGTATCCGACAAAGACACAGAGGAAGTGGTTGGTAAAGTAAAATCTCTCATAGAAGAGTTTAGAACGTGGTGCCAGAGAAATTAACTTATTCCAAACACATCCAAATCTGCTTCAGTGAAATGTATAACAGATGATGGCATCAAGTTGACTGGCATTGTTCGGTCTCATCTTCATCACGAATTATCAGAAGAGCTGCAAGCGATCATTTATTAATGAAAAAATATTGACTGCAGCTTCCAAATATATATAATGAAATGTATAAAGTTTGCTGGAACGAATTTACAAACTATTAGAAAAATTCTGCACAGAATATTTGCCACATCAATCCCCTACAACTATCAAAGCATATGAAAAATTCTATCAACTTAAGTAACAAATTATCAGGCTTCCTCAAAGATATCAGGTTAGGTTAGGTGTTATGTTTTTTATTGCGTTAACCACTCTGCTACCAAATTATGTTATTGAAACTAAAGTCTGAACCGCTTACGTTGTTCTACTAAGAAACTGGGCTGCTTATAGATTCTAAAACTGTTTTTATTTCGTAAATGTTGTACAATTCGAAATTAATTGTTCGACAATTACGTGACGTTTTCAATTATCTCAATAAGCATTGGTGTAACAAAATACATTAATGAAAAAGGAACAAAATAAATATTAATTTCTTCAAACTCTCAATCATGCCCCCGCCTTGGAAGGCCTCACGTATTCTTCCAACATCCAACTGGAATCAGAATCTGAAAGTGGACATAACTTTGCATAAGATATCTTGATATCACCAATTGATGTTTTGATCGTAGCGACTCTACTGACACCATCCTTTCCAGGATATAGATGAATAATGCGTTCCAACTTCCATCTCAAAGGGAGTAAATTGTCTTCCTTTATCAAGACCAAGCAACCAATTTTCAATTCTCCCTGGGATGATTTCCATTTAGTTCTCTGTTGGAGTTCGGATATATACTCTTTCTGCCAACGGTTCCAAAAATGTTGATGACACTAATGGTGAAACTGAAGGATTCACTGGAGCACGAGTATTTGGAGTTGTTAAAACTATCCTAGCATGATTAGATTCATAGTATAGTAGTAGTATAATATATGAACTTCATTATCATGTTGATTTTTGTGATCAGGATATCCACACCCAAGGATTTCAATTGTAGATTTTATGTTTTGGATCAGTGATTTCAACCTTGTTTGTGATCAAGTTATAGCGAGAGAACATTACCGAAGAAAGATGATTTTTTTGAATCGATATCCACTACCTTGCTCGTCCAACAAAATTAATTCACTTTATATTCTGAATTGGATTGAAAATTAACTAGCTTGCACAGTACAGTTTGTAAAATATGGTTATTCAGTATCTCAGTCTCATCGGGTGTACCACAGGGTTCTCATTTAGAACCATTGCTTTTCAACCTATTTGTAAATGACTTGAAAGATGTTATTCTTTATAGTGAATTTCTTTTGTTTGCTGATNAGGTTCTCAGCTGCCATGCGGGTTTTGATGTTGTGAAACGTACTGGAAGGTCAAAATGCTTGGAAAGTGGGTGCCTCACGATTTGAACGATCAACAGAAATTGTCAGGTTAGAGGTCTGTTTCATTTTTTGCATTTGCGCAACCAAAACGATCCTTCTTTGAATCGGAATTGAAAAATGGGTCCTTTACGACAACAGGAAACGTTCAGGACAGTAGTTGGACACCGATGAGTCACCCAGGCAGTTTCCAAAGGCGAAAACCCACCGAAAAACACCATGGTTACTGTACGGTGGTCAGCGGCTGATGTGATAACCCTCTGCAACCGGGCCAAACCAGCGGAGTCCTATTGTGAGGAAATCGACGAAATGTACTGAAAATTGCGTCAGCACCAGCCGGCACTGGTCAATAGAAGAGGTCCGATCCTGCTGCACGACCAAGCCCGTCCGCACGTTTCACAAATCACCGTCCAAAAATTTAACTAATTGAGTGTTGAAGTTTTGTCTCATCCACCATACTCTCGCTAAGTGACTACCATTTAGACAACTTTCTCACCGGTGTAACCTTCGCCAATCAGGACCGGGCAGAAACGGCTTTCTTAGACTTCATCAAATCCCAAACATCCAATTTTTATGCTGACGGAATCAATCGACTTGTGCACTGATTCATATGACGCTTATTTCGATCAAATTGTACTTTAAATTGCAATATCCCAGTTTTCACTGAGATATTACAGTTTGAAGTAGACTCATAAAAACATACCAAACTTTTGAAACAACTTAATAGAACTTACTGAACCGACTTGTATCCATAATTGAAAAAAATCGTTTTTTGGCTGGCCAAATAAAATCCATTATTTATCAATTTGTTTATTTACCTGGTATAAACAGAACTTCTTTAAGGCACATTTTACAATAATTTTCAGCTACATAATTAGAAGGAGATAGATAATCTAATAAAGACATTACATTCAGAAAAGTGTAGCATTCAAACATTTTCAAATACTGAAAAAGAGTAAAACAATTAGCAGTGATTAATAAGTCCAATAATATTATATTTTTAAAGAGGTAAGAAACGTATACCAAATATAATGCTTTTTAGATGAACTAGACCTAAGTTATTGTTTTTGTTCCATAAGATATTGAAGTTGAGAAATGGAATGTTGTCCCACCAGATTTGTCATAACAGTAAATTGTAAATTAAATTCAGGCTGCATTGTTATATTTACTGTAAAAAAGACAATTTTTATAAATTTTTGATTATTTAATATCCCATAAATTGAAAAAATTCAATTGGTCACACGAAAAATTAATGCAAACTCGATAGAAAGTCGGTGAAACAACAAACGTGTATTCCACCTCAATCAACAATATATTAGACAATTGCAAAAAATTGAAATTTCACCTATTTCTCCTTTATATCGATAATATCACCTTATACAATTCACAAATTCACTCAATTTGTTAACAATAAATTGTTTAATATGCTAACAAACAATTCATTTAAATACTATATATATACTGTTTACAAAGAAAAAAACCTTAATTCAAAATAAAATATCTGAAAAACAAAAACAGTAATCAACAAAATATTAAAAACAAATTTATAATAATTTAAAAATCCAAAATCATAAATTATAAAATGAAAAATTATAGGAATATTATTTTGATACAAGGCCATTCAGTGATGAAACTAACATCCTCAATAAATGTTTTGAGTGCTTAAATAGAATTATTTACATTAAATACATGTTTTGATCTTAATATTACTTCAAACTGAAATGTTCTTTACAGATAGCTGAGGAGAAAGAAGTTTCCTTGTTGGCTGTGGTGACATCTGAAACAAATAAGAAAATCCTAAAAAAAATGTTCTATTCCTACACTAGTGTTTTATTAATTTCCAATTGCAAGTAAGCCTTGGAATTTACCCAATGTTCAAAGTGTGTTCTCAACATGAATATTAATAATTGAATAGACAGTTCGTTTCTAAATATACAGTTTCTAACAAAAAATAAAAACATGGACACTAGAAGTGAAAGCGACTGTGAACTAACCTACTCAGTTTATCTCCAATAGAGATGAGACTTTACTTAGATTTGAATGGCTGGAGATTAAATCCATTTGGAAAAAAGTTTATTCTACATAAACGCAGTTATCCAGATAAAATAGTGCTTAAACAGTGAAGTTCGAGGTGTACTGAGCTGAACCTCAAATCGATGAGCAGTCACAGTCCGTCACGGATTTCTGATATGTACCGCTCCTGGTGTAATCAAATGTGCCAAGTCACTTGAACACTTCTTGTGAATGTATCTATAGCAGAGAGACAAATCTCCAACTTTTCTTCGATGTTCCAGGCTATCAAGGTTGCACGTGATGTTCGCATCTCCAATCAGGCGGATGGCTCTTTCCTGGATGGAATCCAGCAATTTCAGGGTATGTTTGGGGACAGAGCTTCATACATGAGAACAATACTCCAAAGAAGGTCTGATCTGAGCTTTATAAACGAATTATCTTCTTGGCATCAGAGAAATAGATTGATTTTAATGACATCAATTTTGGTAATCGTCAAATTTTTTGCAACAAAAAATTTCATCTGATTATTGGCAATATCCAACTCTCTTCAGATACAATTCTTATTAACCAATTTAGATGAGGGTTTAAATTAGAACAGACATATTGAAAATGTCTGTTCAAATCTAAATGTAGCCTATTTTGCTATCAAACAAATGAAGTCAATTTTAATTACAGATGACTTGTTGAGCATCAATTATGTTTTGAAATACTATGATATTAACCTCAATATTATGTTGTAGGGTTGAGCAAAAGAATTCTCAAGAGTATTTGTTTCCAGAAAAAAAATATTTGTGTGATCTTAGGATTAAGGAGGTCTTACCATTTAACGTGCTATTCTTAGCGAATACTAATGCTGATTTTCAATTTCAATTTTTGAGAGTTACCCAACCTATTTTCAAATAGAACAAAATTCTCACTGTCCCTTCTATGTACATTATATGAGTGTGAGCTATGATCCAAATTAGAGTTCTTGCCGAATAAAAGCAAACATTGATTGTTTTGTCTTCGATTTTTACTTACAGATGGAGATGACCTATGTGAAAGCATTTACTTTATCGCTTCATTTATTGATGAGATGTGTATAATGATTTGTTACCTCAAATGGATTATAATAGCTGCATGTGAAATTTTGTATCCAGCGGTTGTAAGTCCCCATATCATGAAATATCCATAATGCATTACTAGTGGTTAGAAACATCACATGTTGAAATAAAATAAATTCTAACAAATGTCTAAAATAGTACTTACAAGAATTGAATGTCTCTTCATAGACGTCTCAGTCGTTTTTGTTGGAGTAACCTCCGAATGTCTATGAACAGCTGCAGTGGTGGTATACAAAATATCCACTTTCCCAAACTTATCAACCTTTCTTAACGTAACACTCACATTGTCTTCTACCACTCCTTCCACCCTATGAGAACTCAAAACCGGGGATTTTTCAGTATTAGTCGTCTCTACTTCGCTAGGTGAATTTATGTATATACTCGTTGTATAAAGAGTCTTTTTAGGTTCGGTCGGGGTACAACTATTTGGCAAACTCAAATTCGACTGGTTTCGTGGGCATTTCTCATTTTCCATATTCAACTTTTGTGTGTCTAACGACCTTCTCAAACTATTACTACTACTATGTAAGGTATTTTGGGAATTTCTCAGAGCCACGTTTTCTTCATTTTTGGCAATATCTTCAATTTTTGATTCTGCATGGTTCTGTCTCTCCTCAAAAATATCTTCCTTTTGAGGTAACGTTTTGTTTTCCTCTGATTTGATTATGGTTTTAGGAGGAATGAACCGCGGCATCCGCGAAACCCAATGATCCTGTCCAGAACCTACTGAACTCGTACTTGCCGCACTGCTGCAATTTGAACTCGCGCTCACATACACGCCATTTCTTTTCTGGTAGAATAATATGTAGGCGCTGTTGTTGACTAGCAACGAGCTGATATCATTTACTTCTCTACTGAGATTAACAACTTTGGAATCATCATAAAGGTACCACTGATTATCATAGGGATTCTTGCAAGCGGCTGTGTAATGGCCAGTTTCTAAATCGCAACCGTGATGGTAGCAAACTGCATACAAATCGTACATGTTATCAGCTGATGTCGAATGTTTCCTAGATCTCTTCCAAGGCGACCAGCTACTGTTGGTTATATGGTTAGATTCGGTGATGGTATTATTACGATTCAATGTAGCAGCACGTTTATTGGCTAGATGAGGTGACATATCGAAACCATTCACTGGGAATTCCACCATTGTCGTGAGTTTGGTGCTGTTACCTCCTCTGAAACCATGCCTGCAAATTACAAGTCAGTTAGTCAAATTACATTCATTTATTGTTCAAACAGGCACCAAACCCTATTAAAGGACACAGTATGCAATTTTGGGATGAAAGTCTAAAATATAGGAAATGTATACATATCGTAATAGTAATACATTCATGGAAAATAAAAAAAAAGTTCAAGTGTATAGAAAATATACATATATCGTAACAATAATACCTTCATGAAAAAAAAATCATCTGAATATATTTTATGATGTTGAATAAATGTCTACTTTCTCTAGTTGAGATAGTAGACTTGGTGAGTTGACAAGATTGTTTACCAGTTTGTATATGAATTCGCAAGTATAATAAGTTCTCCTGTCTTCAAAAGATAGCCAAGGATAAGTAGGGTCAAGAATCCCGAGTGAAGGTTGCTCTCCAAAATTCTTTAATAAGTCTCTGCTAAGGTAAAGTCGGCCTACAAGAAAGTGGGGATCCTATGCTATAGCTTGTGTAGTTTGGACATGAATCCTTCATCACTGGTAATCAAAGATCAAACAAACGACTGCTACAAACAGATTAAGCAGACATGCTTGATTCAGAATAACAGGAACAAATAAAACTACACCAACAGCTGCATTAGCGACTCTCTTGAATCTTCCTACTTTATATCTTGTAATAAATGAAGAGGCGTAAGTGGGCCAATTCAGACTAGTAAATTCACAAAGTTATAAATCGAGCAAAACAGAAATTTCAAAGTATGTGGAGAAACATACCACAAACATGTTCTCGGATATTTCGCGGTTAAAGTCATAAACTGAAAAAAGAGGGGAATGGATAGTCATCCCGAGAATATTCTCAACAGAAATATATGGTTTACAGATGAGTCAGAAGCCGAACATGAGACGGAAACTGGAATTTACTGCGTGGAGAGAAATTTACATTTTAGTAACCCTTAATAAATACACATCAGTATTTCAGTATGCTATTAACAATAATTTGTGGCCACAGCGAAATGAGCAAACTAATATTTTCGCAGAAAGCTAGGCTGCACTTGGTGCATTTATGAACCCAAAAGTGATATCGAGACTGGTCTGTGATTATCAAGAAGAACTCAATTGGCATACAGGAATCGATTGACTATACAGGGCGGCCCACCACATTCGCCTCGGTATTTCTACGAGAAATGAAGAGAGTTAGAAATGAGGAGCATAATCCAAAATTATTTTGAAATATATAGGGCAACTCCCAAAAAAGTTACATACTAAAGTTATATTTTTTCTTATGGAACACTCTATATTTTTTTATATCTTTAGATACTATAGACAAAATAAAGGTGAGTTACTATTATATTTCTCATACTTAAAACTGACCGTTTATGGCGAAAAAAATTGCCTCAAAAATTGGACACACATTTGTTTAAATAACTTCTCAAAGTTGAATGGAACACCCCGTATTTAGTGGCGTAATTTGACGCAGAAGTAGATTCCCTTCAAAACTATATTATGGTTCCCTATACCTATCTCTTCTGCTTTTTACACAAAAGGCGTTTATATATTTTACTTATGAGTAGTTTTTTCATCTTGAAAATGGAACACCCTGTATCGTAATGAAAAGCAAGAAAGCATTTTTGAAGTCATTTTATCGAAAAATTATAAATCTTAAATAGTTTTTTATTTTAATAAATGCTCAATATGGTGTCCATTATTCTCGATGCATAGGCGAACTCTTTCTTGAAGAATAGCGAGAGAACATTACCGAAGAAAGATGATTTTTTTGAATCGATATCCACTACCTTGCTCGTCCAACAAAATTAATTCACTTTATATTCTGAATTGGATTGAAAATTAACTAGCTTGCACAGNTTTTGTCTATAGTATCTAAAAATATAAAAAAATATAAGTTGTTCCATAAGAAAAAATATAACTTTGGTATGTAACTTTTTTGGGAGTCACCCTATATATTTCCAAATAATTTTGGAATATGCTCCTCATAGACCCACATATAACTGTGCTAAAAGTTTTTCCCTAACTCTCTTCATTTCTTGTAGAAATACCGAGGCGAATGTGGTGGGCCACCCTGCATACTGGGTGCCAGGACACTTAGGAATCATAGGCAAAAAAAAGTTGACGAGTGTGAAAAACATAGAAATTAACTTTGGTATATATACCTTGAATCAGCTGTGGGAGAAGGAACTAGATAGGGACGCGAGCCTATAACAAACATAAATAGCATTGAGAAAACATACTCGGAAAGGGGCTAAAAAAAAAAGAACTCATGAACTGCTCCAACAAAGCAGGGATCCACTCAGAATAATTATAGGACTACCTACTGGACACTGCCCATTGAGAGGACATCTCAAGCAAATAGGATGGGGTAAAGGAGATCTTACCTGCAGGCAAGGCAACAAAGGGACAGCAACAGTTCGTCATGTTTCATGCGAATGTGAGGCACTATATAGTTCACAGAAGGTAATCAATCATTTCCACCTTTGAAATAACTCTTACATGTTTGATATTGTTTTGAAATATTATATCTCTATTTTTGACAAACAGCAAACATCTTAGTATCAAAATTATTTTTTCACATAACAATGGAAACTATGGAAAGCTGATTTTAAAAACAAATTAAGCAGGTGCTGAATGAAATAAGAAGTACTCACTGTCGAAACCGTTTCAAATGTACAATAAGAATATCCGGAAGAGACCACACATCCAAAGTTTTCACCACAGGTTGATACTGCTGGCAGTGTGGACATCTCCATGCATCTGTCAAAGTTTCAGCCTCCGTATAATCCCTTAAACATTCTTCGAGAGTTAACGGGGCTCCCCCTATAAAAAATGTACATTTATCATAGACCCACAATTATACTCACAGCAAAATAATAATATTTTTGATCCTCAAACGGAGCAACAAATGTCATCGGCTTTAGTTATATTTACCATGCATCGCTTGTGCTCGAAGCATTTTGACACTTGAATGTTCCTCTACCATATCAATATCTTCAGCAATCATGGCTAACTTAGACTCTACTTTCCATTCTAGAACAAGTTTCACATGTTGTGGACCACCGTCTTCGCTACATAAGGCTAAGGCCTGATCAATAGCTTCCATGAATAATGGATGTTCCAAGTCAGGTTCCAAATAGCAAGGAGGTTCATTGTCATTACAGGCCGGATCAGAAATTCTTATTTTGAAAATCTAAAATATGAACACCAAATACAATACGACTAATTTCTTGCAATATACCTTTTAAATGAAGTATTTTCAATTTTAAACTTATTCTTAAAGCTTTACAAAAAGTGTTACATAAAATGTTTGACACATTTGCAAGGATGAAACAATAAATATATTGAGGCTCATAACAGTACAGCACCCTGAGTATGAGGCACACCAAAATAAGTATCATAAAAAGTTTTTTACTGCAGTACTGATTAAAATAATCTATCAATTGTATATTGTAATTTAATATA